GGTAGAGTCCAGGACCGCTCCAATGAACTCTATCCTTTGAGATGGTACCAAGAGGCTGAGCTGGCAGTACGTGTCCAGGATGAGATGCACATTGTGCTAGATCTTCAGTTTCAACAGGCCCTCAAAAAGCCAGTCATCCAGGTAAAGATACATCTGCACACCCTGACACCTCACATATGATGCTGCCACCGGCATGCACTTGGAAAAAACCTGGGGGGTGGGGCGGTAATAGACAGGCTAAAGGGCCCCGACAGCAAATTGGTAGTGGTTATTTCCCACTATGAACCTCAGAAAATGCTTGTGACCTTCAAAGATGGCGATATGGAAGTACGCATCCTTGATGTCAATGGTGGTATACCAAGATCCAGGTCAGGAATGATGGAGACCATGTGGAACTTGAGGCAGACCAAAAATTTGTTGAGGCTGCCTAAGTTCAATATAGGCCATAGGCCCCCTTTCACCTTAGGAATCAAAAAGCAGCCGGAGTAGAAACCGTTTTTCTTGAACTCTGGCAGTACCCTCTCATGATTGGAGGATAAGAGGGTGGCGTGGAGGAGAGGTGGAAGATATAGCCATGTTGGACAATGGCTAGGAACCAGACAGTCCAATGTAATGTCCCTCATTGCTGGGAGGAAGGGACGGGGCCTGAAGGAGAACAGGCAGGATGTTAGCAGTCTGGTATGTCGACTCCAACCAAACCCTATCTGAAGCATCCTCTCTCCATGGGGAGTCCAGCATGCTGTGGACAATGGTTGTTCTGGAGGGGGCTGGGAGCCAGCAGCAGCCTCAGTGATACCTAACATTAACCAGTTAACTAATTAATGGGAATTTACATCCCTACTGAGATGGACTGCAACTGCAGGTTTTGAAGTTACTGCAAAACTATCAAGTGTCCTGCATTTCCACAAGCCAGAATGACAATACTGAACTAACCATGACAATTACAGGGTGGAGAAGACCATGTCACTAACCCTCCCCACCACTGACTGAAAGGTCCATTTCCCATGGAGGTCAACGAGGCTGGGCTATTTTATAAGTAAAGCTACCGAGAAACGTATGTCAATGCCATGATGGCAATGTCTATATTATGTAAATAATACCTAGACATTGTTTGGCAATGATTATATGTAAATAATACCTAATCATTGCTTTGTGTGTCAGTAACTCAGAAATGTGTTGTCACAGCTAGCTCCATTCAGGTCACAGCAACATGCAGCCCAAAGACGGAAGAACAAATCCCTTGAAACTGGAAGTCAAAACATCTCACCTCTTCACAGAGCTCAAAGGGCTTGTTCACCCAGAGACACAAGTCATGAGAATTCTCTCTAGAGAAATCCATCCTGCCTCTCTGTGGATATGTCAAGAGAGGCATCTTAACAAGCCATTTAAATCAAACTACTTGGATGAGGAAGACTCAGAGTCTGTCCATCATCCACATCAGAGTGACACGGTGATTTCATTGCCATGATCACAGACCTGATCTCTCTGTGGGCTCTTGTGGAGCAGTAGAGAGCCTGGGAAGGTCTCTTTGGGAAGGGGGCGGGGGTGGAGAGGTGGCAAGAGGGGCCGGAAGTGCCTATTTCAGTGGTTCTGAAACTTTCTGGCCCATGGACCACCTGACAATGTAAATCTTTCCACAGACCACCAGTTGCTAATGGAAACTCACTGTTAATGACATAATTACACCCAAGTCATTTTGCTAGTGCTGCAGCTATTAAACAGATTGAGTATTTTAACTTTCCTATGTTAGTTTATCAAACTTTATTTAAAATGATACTTTGGGTGGGGGGAAGACTATTAACTTCCCTGCTTTACATCATAATTTGAACAAGTTTTACTGCAATGTTTTATCTGTCTCATTTATTTTGCATGTGAAATCCAGGGTACAGTGCCACTGAAGTATTATTAGGAAGACGTTAGGTCAAATCCAAACAGAATGGATAGTTTGTGTGCCTCTCATCCGTCTACCAAGCACTCACCTAGCAATTCTAGAATATTACAATTCTAGATTTGTCCTCATTTTTTTCCACTTTCCTAAAAAGAAAGAGACTAGACTACCTGTTGGTAGTTTGGTTTTTGCTCACTAGACTGCTACAGAATGTTGGCTAAGATGGTCAGAGAAATGCCATGTACTGAACTTTTTTAAAAAATGTGTTTTTACTATTGATATCTATACAGTGCCTACCAAAATGAAACCCAACTATTACTACAATAGAAATAAAAACAAACATTCATTCTGGGGGAAAATCAGAGTATCCATCTAATTATTGCCCCATGAGAAATGCCATTCAATTACTTAATGAAATGTAATCACCATACTAATAGTTGACAGGATGCAACAGAATTAAAAGAAAAATCCCACACATTGCATTCAAAAAAGCATTCTTAATGCTTTACATTTTACTTCAGTACATTTCTAAACTAATCAGAACTTTTAGCCTCATCAATTAGTCATTTTCATTTCCCACAATAATGCACACAGTTAAAATTACTCAAAGCCGTCAATGTTTTAGCCTTTCCATATCATGAAAAGACAAGTTGGCAGCATATTATCTATCAATGAGTCACAGATCTGTTAAAGCATAGAGAAAGCCAAATAGGCCACCAGCCTCATACCACAAAGAATTAACAAGATACTATTTAGGAAAAATCGCTTTGAGATTATAAATAAATCCTGAAAGTGGTAACAGCTAACATTTATTTTGAGGGGACAGAAAAACGGGACTGACGGACAAGTTAACTAACCTTTTATTTATCTAATCATCTAAAGCAGACAAAAGAAAAGCAAGCTTCTTCAAACAGATAAAGCCAAAGTAGATGCATTGCAAGAGGCATTACAATAAGTTTAAGAACAGCTTTGAAGTGAAAAGGGAAAAAATGAGACTCCATGAACCCAACTGCCCTTCTCCTCTGTACAGACCAGTGCACTGCAGATTCAAGGCATGAGTGTGTAATTCACACACTGTTTGCTGAGCTACTGTATAGCTTCTAGCAAGTTTACAGTGAACACTTAAAATGTTTTCCAAATTGAGCATTTTTAAAAGGACAACATAAATAGAATATTTTAAGTACTTGCTGACATTTTTCTACAATATCCTAGCTTCATTCCTGTATTTAATTATCAATTTGTTCCCCAGTGTCATATTAAATGTGCAAATTTAGTGCTAAGTAATATTTTATCAACACCTTTCTTCTTGCCTGTATAAAAGGTTGAATTTTTCCTTAGATCTGACATTTACTTCAGTCCCACAAAACCATTCATGTACATTAATACTAGACCAGGATTAATTTATAAAGCAAGGTTATAAAAATTCATATCACTTGTATTTTCCAGTATATGGATATTTTTAACTTTCTTTTGTATTTTTGTGCTCATGTCTAGGATTCAGATATTAGAAGTGTGCAGGTGTCAAGAATTAACAAATGTAAGCATGACAGGTTTCCAGCAAGAGTCCCTCTAAGCTACGCAGCAGCATGGCCCTGCAGCTGCTTAATGAGCCACGCCCAGCCAGAAGCTCAGATCTCCATGCTGGGAGAATCACTGCTCTATCCTTAGCAGGGAGCTGCTGATGTAGCTGAGGGAAAGCATCCCTTCCCCAACCAGGCAGCTCTGTGCACAGGACCCTGAGCTCCTGGCTGGGCAGTGCTCATTAAGCAGCTGCAGGGCTGTAGTATGGAGCAGCTTATTAAAGGGAACCTTGCTTATAAGTGTACCCTTTCAAAGGACAAGTGAAAACAGGCATGAATGTCATGTCTAAACCCTACTGAACAGTATTTTGTACAAAGCTAACAGCACTTGCTCCTGCATTCTCCTCAAAAGCTGTGCTTTCAGTCTCTGTGGTACAGTGAGTGCAATTCACTCGTGCAAACAATATATTGCAAAGCCAAAGTGTACTGCACATTTCCTTGTGATAAACTTGTAATATGAACTAGAATTTCCTAAGTTTCAACTTCAGGTACCTTTTCTTCCTAACCTTTACCTCTTTTCTCTTCAAAAGGAAGTATTCATGCATTCAGATATATATATAAATTGCCATTACCAAATGGATAGTAATAGTGAGGTGACAAACTTCAGTATGACCAAATATTCCTAGCTAGGCACTTCAGTAACACCTCAAAATCTTAAATTTGTACTGTCTCCTTAAATAGAATAGTATTTGAGAGACAGTAAGTCTAGTTGGCAAAGATATGAAAACACAAAAATGCAAATGTAATTACAAAGAGCTTATCAAGATAGCACAGGTTGCACCTCCCAAAACCTGGACTTATCTGGTAGCATCTGTGGTCTGGCAGGACCATGGATGTTTCTGCATGAGAGAGCCCTGAGGCAGGAGGGCTAGCAAGCTGAGAGCCCCACACACAGTGAGGTTGGGGATAGTGGGGCTTCAGCAGCCTGGTGGTGGTAACAGGCAGGGGCAGCCTGGAGACCCACCTGGAGCTGGGGCAGCACGTGTGCGCCAGCCTGGCAACAGGGCTAGTGCCACAGCAGCCCGACTGGGGCTGCGTGCTGGCCTTGCAGCAGGGGCAAAGCTGCAGCAGCCTGGCTGGCAGTAAGACTGGGCTACAAAAGCCCAACCGGGGAAGCTTGTCTGGGGCTGTGGCAGTGGAGCCAGGGCTGGCCAGCAGTGGAGCTGGGCTGCCGCAGCAACCCCCAGCTGGGACCAGGGCAGCTCAGCCAGGGCCACGGGCCGCCCAGCTGTGGGAGTGGTGCCACAGCAGCGGAATCAGGGCTGCTTGCTACTATGCTGGCAGTGGGGCTGGGGCAGCCGTTCTGGCAGCAGGATCGAGGCAGCAGTCTTGTCCATTTGGTGATAGGGGACCTTCCCTGGTACAGCAACTTCCCTCATCCAGGACTGCTCAGGTCCCAAGGGGGCCAAGACCAGGGCTGTATAACCTTGAATTCTGTACATCTTATTCTCAATTAAATATTCCACACATTTTAAATCAAAACATGACAAATTCAGTATATGTAAAGATGCAAAAATATTATAAACAGCATATTTAAGGGATTTGTTTATTTTTGGTTTACAAACAAAGGCACCCAATGTTTCTATGTATGTTTTATAAAAGCTTACAGATTTAACATTTCTCTTAGTATGTTCCTATGACAGAAAATCCCATGATAGGAAAAAGCACTTTTCCCTTGGTCCCATATTTTAGATACGGATATACCCGTTTAATGACCATTTGTTTTCAGACTGCTCTCTCTCTTACTTAACATGTCAGATTTCACTGTTATTTAGTGAGTTACAGGACATATTAATCTTATGGTATCAAAATATAGACCTAGTATGTTCTTTTTATAGTTCTGGAAACAGAAAACTGAAAACATTAATATGAAAAATATTAGTATCCTATATGGAAAAAAGTGCCTTCAGATACAATTTTAATGGATGATTCACGTGGAATGAACAAATGTATTTAATGCCATAAGTTATCATCAATTCACAGGATGACTGATGAGTGTATATAAAATAAAAATAGTAATCCACAGCTAACCATAGCTTCAATTATGGAGAAAAGCCTGGGTTTTTTAAATGGTAACATTTATACAGGAAATATTAGCGACCTTACGCCCAAAGTGAGACGTAGTTACTTCAGTAATTTATTTATACAATCCTTAAGAGTATTATGGACAAGAAAATCAACTCAGTAGGTTCATAGTTCTCAGCTATTAAAGAAAGTATTATTAAAGGAACAATGTAAAAAACAAGTTATGGTTGCAGAGAGGAAAAAAGTTGTTTTACTATTAATTTCACAATCTTGATACATTTGTGCCTCTTTTCAAGTTCACCTACATACCAAGAATGGAAAAAAGTGGGTCAATAAGATTCCAGGCACTTTCTGCAGAAAGTCTACATTTTATCATTACTATATTTTCAAGTGGAACAACAGAAAATTCATAGGGAGGTAGTTATAAAAATACATTAGGGATATTACAGTTAAGTGTAATACCTCGAATCGCAAAAGCCAAAATTTATTATAGTTTCAATCATTATCGGAGGTCTCTCACACTTCGTAGTGTGGTCCTAGACCATGAGAGTTTATCAACGTAAAGAATATATACACAAGTACCTTCAAAAGGAGCTAATGGTTAAGATACTCACTACATAGTATTTAGCTTCAACAAAGTCATTTTCTTTCAAAATTAGATATATGCCCATGTGAAATAAAGCGTTTTTCTTTAAAGTTAGCTTTTCACAAGAACAGCAAAATAAGCTCATTACACACTTCAAATGTGATAAGAAAACAAATATGTATACATGTTTTTGCAATTTTTGTATAATTAATTCAAAATTTACCCTTTCCAGGTGTATTCAAAAATGTACGGGATTTAACTACAGCACAAACAAACATTTTAATGAGAAAATACCATGTAGGTGTGTGCAGGCAGTTTGTCAAATAAAAGCAATGTTAAAAATGTTTTAAAACAGAATTATAGGCCATTGAGATTTAAAGGGAAAATCATTAAGTGTTGTATTAAAGTAGAATTCAGCTGTTTTTGCAGTTAAATATGTATTTCTCCCACTAATAAAACTGACATGCAGAAAGATATTTCTTCAATTTTATCCAAGAGTGTGCTACTAAATATTGTGAGGTTAAAAAAATGTCTTAAGATGTACTTAAGTCCTGAAGTAGGATTCCTCTTCCCCCTACCTCTCCAGTGAAATGTAGGTTTGTGCTGTATCTTTGTACTTAAATCTTAACTTCAATTCTTCACATATTAAGAGAATGTTGTTGAAATGATAATTCTTGGAGGTAGCATACCTTGCTAAACCATTTTAATCTGATGGAGTATATATAATCTGTCTTAGAATATTTTTTTAAATTTTGGTAATATAAAAAGTAGCAAAGGATATGGAAATGTCTCTGGAATAGGTTAATCTTGAATCAGGTTTGCATTTAAAAAAGCATGGTCTCTGTGTTCCTAATCAAGCCATCATTTAGGGCAAGTAAGTTCAATAACTTGCAGATCTGTTCTTTTCAGTGTTAGAGTTCCTTTTCTTTTTTTCTTCAATATAAGCTTTGATTCAGCTTTCAGACATGCAAATAGTTTTCACTGATCTGACTTTAATAGTAATTTCATGACAGTATCTAAGAGCAGACTTAATCAGTGTGTGCATTCTGAAGACTAGATCAGCCTTTCAATTAAGAGGGATGTATTTCTTTCAGTGAAGGAGTCTACATCATATCCTTACAATCTTTGAGGAAAGAAGTGAAGGAAAGATGATAAAAATGAAGAGCAGAGGAGCCATCAGTAATTTACAAAGATCCACAGTCACTCGTATGGGCTTGTAAAGGGATAAAACTCACTAATACAGGAGAGTCTCAAATAAATAAATCTACAAACAATATTTTGTTCTTACTGAATGTGCCTATTTACAACAACAAATAAAATGAGAAGTTAATTGTTAAGGCAGACTTTAATCAAATGCTTTCCAGATTTGCACAGTTATATTGGTCAGCGGTTCAAATTTTTCTGCCAAGCCAAAGAAATAAACTTGCTGTGGATTTTTGTTTGTTTGTAATGCTAACACATTTGTCTAATGCCAATCTGATCTGATATTTCAACTGTTTTATTCGCTATATCTTCATGGGAATACACAATTAAACATTACATACACTGTACTGAATATTTCACACTCCAGGTTTTAAATTTCATATTTTTACAAAAGATGAGATGACTAAGTACATTTTACAGGCTTTGTGCAGTTAGTCCACCATATGCATAGATGTCCTAATGCTAAAATTATTCTCTTCAGTATCTCATAGTACTGGATGCTCTAAAGTAGGACAGGAACTTGTAACACAAACTAACCACAAAGTACCAGATGTTTCTTGCCATTTGTGATCTTGCAATAAAAATACGCCAGATCAGGATCACAAGGACTGTATTGAAGCCGTAACGTATATTCCTTAACCTGGGAAAGAATTAAAGAAATGCAAAAATTGTTAAGTGTTGAGAAAACAACAACCACTGTAGATGTAAGGTGCTATAGAAGTGCAACCTCTTACTTGGTATGGGATTTAATTTATTCCACATTTCTCACACCCAATTTGCACTGTGAGCCAAATTCAGTGAACAAAGGGGTAGCAGTTAATCTCCAGTCAGCCCAAAGAGGTGAGCTCAGACTTAACTGATTAAGGGACTTAGAAACAGAGAGAAAAGCCAGTCACATATCTGTGTTAGAAACTGTAATACGGAATAAACAGAAATGTAATATGCCAACAGCATTTATTAAGCAAATTCAAAGTCCACCATATTTAGCCATCAAAAAATAAGCAAAGGGATCACATCATGTGCCATTTATTTTCTTAATAGGTTCAACATACACAGTGCTGATTGTGGCAGACAAAAAAAACCTACAATTCACCCCTTCTGAAGACTGACTGTTCACAAAGCTTTAAAAAGGTTAATTTTTATTGTAATACATCCTGAAAATAAGTAGGTTTCAGAAGGTGTGAATCCAAGATGGTGGCTCTGAACCATGTAACAGGTTTTTGTAGCTTCCCTAATCTGCTATCATTCAGTTTTTGTTCTGTATTTAAGATAAGCACAATTAGAAAATGCAAACCATAGGCACAACAGAACTACTTCACTTTCTAAATCAGCAGAATCATTTGCCTATTTGCAGCCCCTGTTTTTTAAAATGTAGTTATAACACTACTAGGGGGCTGCACCCCCTGCTCACTGTACTCGCCAACCCCCCTCGCTGGCCACTTTTGCAACCAGAGACCCCGTTAATCTTGCACTAAGCCCATCTGCGCTCTCCATGGCCCCAAGTCATACTCACCCTTCTCCATTCCCACCCACCATACCCTGGACGGCCCCCTCTATCCGAATGCTCTCTGCCCATCTCGCAAGCTTGAGCCCTTCAATCACCAGCCAGTCCCCCACCCCACACCCTTCCTACTCCTGCCCTACCTGCCAATAAAATAGTCCATGGTCCACAGCCCTCCCCCCTCCTTCCCACCAGCCTCCACTCCTATACCCACCCCCTTCCTAATCCCTCCCTCCCCACTCATCCCCTTTCTTCCATTCCTACCCCTACCTCCTTCCAACATACTCCTACACCCTCATCTTTCCTTAACTCCTCCCCTTCTACACTCACATTGCCCATCCCCCTCACAGCCAGTCCTCCCTCCGCACCCTTCCCCCTCCTGCCCCACCCACTTGAGAAGAGCAGTAGGTCCCAACTGGGCTGACTCTGAATACCCAGTGCTCACTAGGACCCTGAGGGAACTCACGTGAAGTACAGTGGCATGGCTTAGTTTCTGCAGTGTCTTGGGGATCATCTGCCCTGGCAGCTCTCCCAGCCCCTGTGGGCTGCTGAGGTTTGGCGGCTGAGGCAGAATGTAGCTGCCTGCAGGCCCCATGGGGCCCTCTCAATCAGTCCCATGGAGTGGCTGATTGCTGGCCCCTGTGGGCTGCTGGGGTTTGGTGGCTGAGGCAGCGTGGAATTGGAAGCACTGCACTGGGAACCGGCTGATCTCCTGCAGGTCCCGCTCGGGTCTTGTGACCCGCCCTGAGGAGGGGCTGAGTGCTGGTGCCTGTGGGCTGCCTGTTTGGTGGCTCAGGCGGCGGGGAGCTGGCAGCGCTGTGCATGGGGTCAGGCAAGGAGATGGGTAAGGAAGGACAGAAGAGCATGGCATAATTTACCATCCAGGTTCAGCTGCTCAGTCACAAGCTGTTTGCCATGGCCTTCACCTTCTGAGCTAATGGGATTAGCAGCAGGGAGGGAAGGAGGAAGTAGGCCAGGTGGCTGAAGGGAGAGGGGATGCAGAATGCAGAGTGACATCATCACATCACAGTCATACCACAGGAAAAACTTTTACATAGCGAGAGATTCGGATCAAATAAAAAGTGTTCTCTTGCTCTCCGAGTAAGACAGATTTGTTCTTATGGTAGCTGTAGGTAATTAAATTAATCGTCCTCTTTAGAGAGCTAGATAAAGTGCTTGGTGAATTTTAAACCACTCTTCATTGGCTAAGCAAATCCATCTTCACACCAAACCCTTAATTTAAGTGTGTGTGACTATTACAACTTCTAAGTGCTGTTCAAGTTGCACTAAAACCTACATATCAAGATGAGTAAGTTTTGAATTTCCAAAACACATCATTGTGGCATCTGGACAAAAATATTTCAATGTTCTTACTAGAAAGCTGTGCCCCCTGCTCTCTACACTCACCAACCCCCCTCCTTCTAGGGGTAGGAAGCCCTAGCTCTCTCTCCTCCTCCCTATCTGCACAACTAGCCCTGGCTCTTCCCCCCCCCCCAGCCACGCCATGAGCCCTGGTGCTCTCTCTCTTTTCCACCCCACCCCACCCTCAGCAGGACCACCAGTCCCATTTCTTTCTCTCTCTCTACTCCTCTGACCATGCCGCCACCACCACCAGCCCTGGTTCTTTCTCTTCCTTCCCCAAACCACCACCAGTCCCAGTCTCCAAATTTTTCCGTCTAGCTGCAGCTGGAGCAGCCCAAAATTTTTCAGTCTGGCTGCATCACCAGCTCCAGATTTTTCTCTCCCACCCTCCAGATGTGTCACCAACCCCAGATTTTGTCCTTCCCTGCCACGAGCCCCGGCTTTTCTCTCCCCATTCCCGGTGAGGCCTAACCCTAAACCCCTCCTTTCTGAGGCTGTGCCAACCCTGGTTCTGCCCCCGGTGACTGGGGAAGGCCGAAGCCACATCACGCCAGGCCTGGATTTGCCTCCAGCTTTGGCCTGGCAGCTGGGGAGGGCCAGGCCAAGGCATGCCAGACCTAGGTCTCCACATGGCTGCCAGAGAGGGCCGAGCTGGCACTGGATGTGGCTTAACTCCAGGGACAAAGCTTCGGGTGGAAGGGGCAGGGCTGGGCTTTACCCTCATAAACTGTGGTCACTGTGACATCACCGCCATCCTGCAATAAATTTTTAGAGAGAAATAATCCATTTTATAGGATGTACATATAAAAGTACTGGGGATAACATTACAACATCACACACAGCACTATTATGGTATCTCTGTAGTAACAGAAGATTTACAGACAAAGGAAGTCACTCACAGTTTGTGATAAAACAAAGTGTTGCTCAGTATCTGAACGTGAGAGTTGCTGAGGACAGTCAAAGCTGCCTTAACACAAGCTATTGGCCTTTTGTTTATTTTCCACAGTGCCCAATTCATCTAAGTGGCACAACTGTAGCTACTATATGTGCTTCCAGACACTAGATGACACTAAGTTCTCTTCTCACTCTTCCTTAGTAAATGGCAGCACAACTCTCAACAGATAAAGCTCTGGTGATCTCTAGCTGGCTCTTGTTGCTGTGCAGCTCAGTCTTGTCTTTATTTCACTAGAAACAAAACAGTGACACATGCTCTTCCACTTCCTCTGTCAGAATGGCCACCGACTCTTCTAAGAAGGGTAAAAATAATTTTGATTACGTAACCGTGGCGGGCTGGTATGTTTTGTATGCAGGTTGTTCAGACCACTCAGAAGGAAAGTAGGCCAACCTCTCATATTCTCTAAGTCCTAACAAGTTCACACATTGAAAGGGATAGAATTCACTGGACTACTGAATTTGCACAGTAACTCCATTGGCACTGCCAAAGCAGATGGAAGAAATGCTCCCACTCGAACCTCAGGTACCTAGGAAGCAGAAAATAAATTGCTTTGCATGCCATTGTTTCCAAAATTGGTAACTGCCCACCTCTTTCAGTGCAGATACTATTTGATATTATAGCCAAATGTCAGTCTCTCCATTGTACGGATTAAAATCCTGGTTAAACAAAGTTGAACTGATTAACTACTTAAATGGGAACTAATGGGGGGCTGCTCCAGCTGCAGCTAGACTGAAGCACCCCTGCCTGTGTCATGCTGCTCCAGCCAGATTGTGCTGGCTGCAGGCAGGGGCTGTTCTGACCAGGTTCTGTTCTGCCTACGCTGGAGCAGTTCTTACACACCATTGGGGGGGTGGCTGCACTAGTCCCTGCAGGTTAACCATAACTAGTAAGCATTACCAAGTAAGGGTGATGCTTCCTGGTTAACCATTCACATCCCTTCTCCACTGATTCCAAATCAAGACCATTCTCTTACTCCCACACTGCCAAAGACTAAACGTTCTCAATCCAGAGAAATGGCTCTATGCAGCAGTAGTTTATCTGAAGGGCCAGTCCTCTGCTAAGACTATCGAGCCTACATTCAAGAAGTAGATTCCCTCTCTTGCCTAGAGTTTGAGAGGTTATTCACCTTGTGCAGCAACTGGTGTTCTTCAAGATGGGTATCCTTGTGGTGTTCAACTGCAGGTGTCTTGGTGCCCCTGCGCTTATAATCGGAACATTTTAGAAGCAGTATTGCGCCTCCCCCCCTCACCGGGTGCTGGCACGAATGTGCCAACATGCTTGCACCATCCAGTCCTTTCAGCTCCTTCTCTACCACAGAGATGTTAAAGCTCCGAAGCAGAGGGGAGGAGGGAGGGTTGTGGAGCACCCAACAGGGGCACCCATCTCTAAGAACACCAGTTACTGCACAAGGTGAGTAACCTCTCTTCTCTTCTTTAAGGCGTGTCTGTAGCACTCCACTCTAGATGATTATGGAGCAGTACCCGTAGTCCTTGGGGGCGGGGGGGAGGAAGAGGGAGGAAGGGGCACACTTTGGACTTCCTTGGTGGATGACCAAGAGGACTGCCGTTCTAAATGTGGTACACTGTGAAGGTTAAGTGTCTATCGCATAATGTTTTGTGAAGGTACGTGTGGAAGTGCATGTTGCTGCTCTGCAAATGTCCCTGATAGGCATGTCATGTAGGAAGGCCACAGATGTGGCCAACACTAGTGGAGTGTGCCCAGGGGTAAGTAGCCACTTTGTTGATGTCATAGCACTCCCTAATGCAGTTTGTTATCCATTTCAGAAATCTTTGGCTACCAAGTGCCCTTCTGAGCGGTCTGC